AGTAGAGGACTAAAAATAGTGTAGCACACACAGTGACGGATAAATTACTTTATATGGCGAATAAATGGAAGCAGTGTGTGGGTGAGAGGAGGAATAAAAAAGAAGAGGTGAAGAGTGGGAGGAATGCCACAGGCTGCATTGCAATGATTTGCTCGTAACCTTGCTATTAAATGCTGCCTTATTGGACTAAGAGAAAAAAAAGAATACATGAAGTGATATTATAACAGCTGTACATGAAAACATTAATGTGACAAATGAAAAGCTGGAAATGTTTGTGGGAATGACAGGAAAAGCTGCAGCATAATTTTAAAGGGGAAGTGGGGGGGAGTGGTACCAACAAGCACATGGGGAATTCACTGTTTTGACCACAAACTATAATAATGGTGTTGACTTCGAGGATCGGTAAACAATTCGAGATTCCTTCACGATAAGCTACAGCAGCCGACACGGTCAACTCAGTTCACGGGTCACGCAACTATGGAAAGTCAGTGTTTGTCTGTGGTGCTTCACTGCAGGAGAGCATGAATCACACCGTGGCAGTGCAATTTCTTTTGTTGATCAGGCCACGGCAAAAATCAGACGACAACCCGACGACATGAGAAAACACTGCTCGACCACAGTACTGACAAAACTGGTCAGCTGCGGCTGAAATCTGAAGGGATGCACATAAAGAGATTTTTTTTGGTGTTACAGGAAAATCACATAGTGTGTGTGTGTGTGTGTGTGTGTGTGTGTGTGTGTGTGTGTGTGTGTGTGTCCAACAGGATGTCACACAGACAGAGGGAGAGCTGACAGCTGGAGCACACCCACAAATACAAAGATCAAAGCACTGCAGAGTGTGTGTGAGTGTGTGTGTGTGTGTGTGTGTGTGTGTGTGTGTGTGTGTGTGTGTGTGTGTGTATATATTAGCTTGGCTGTTGTCTCACCGATACTAAAGATTCATGGTCACAAAGTTTCAGTGTGACTCAGCACATAAAATCGAAGCCCATAGTTTCACATCAGGTGTGTGTGTGGTCCAAAAAAGACAGACAAAGGACAAAAAGTTTAAAGGTAAATTTTAAGGTTATTTATAGGTTTGGCTTTAGGTTTAGGGTTCAGCTAGTAGTAACTATGGTTCAGGTGTATGTGCTCAGCAGGAGTTTTTGACCTTTTTACCGATAGCTGACTCGTTTATATCACGATTCATCTGTGTGCTGAGCTGCAGACTTTTAAAACCCTCCAGTCTTCAAGCACTTCTCATCCCAGGCAACTGCACTGGTCGTCTTGGAAACCAATTCAAAAGCTCCCTTTATTAAGACTAGACTCAGCAACAAAGCTCTTACTCACCCAATCTCTCTCTCTCTCTCTCCCTCTCACACACACAGAGGGTTAACCCAGGGCAAGGCAACATGCATTCCCTGACAGGAGACAGACTCTTAAAGATCACCCCACCACCCCCACATCATCTCTGTCGACATATACACACACACACACACACACACAATAAAACTCCACACCACATCGTCCCCTTCCCTCTGCTGAGCCCCAGTCTGTGGTTGAAGCAGAAAAGTCTCAGGGCGTAATATGACTCTGCTTTTATAAACATGCAGAGAGCGAGAGAGGGAGAAAAGGAAAGAACAAGTGAGAAACTCGAGCAAGAGGCTGAAACAGAGCACATGTGGAAAAAAAAAAAAAAAAGTTCATACATGGCTGAGAAAATTTTTGCAAAATTCCACTTCTCCTTTGTAACTAAACTCTAAAGCTCCTCCGCCAGACTTTCTACTCCACTCATCACACACTGTGCACCACTGCTCAGGCATCAGTGTGTGAGACTCCAACCACACATCTGGCACTACGGGCTGGAAGGCTGTGTGTATGTGTGTGTGAGTGTGTGTTTCACTGTGCGCAGGTATGCTGGGAAGCTCGTCTAGGTCAAACCAAAGTCAGTCAGTCTGTGAGATTATCAGGGAATGTGGAGAGAGACACACACACACCAATATTTGTTCAAAATGAAGGCTATCGCTTCAACTCAACCTCAGAACAAAACTTTAAATCTGTGTCAGTCATCAACTGAAGCCCTGACATCATCAGAGGTGAAACCATCAGGTGAGGAATAAATCCATCAATCATTGGAAGAATTTTTCAAGCAAATGAAATTGTGGTTCCCTCCCAAGAATAAACAATCCAACTTTCACATTTGAGAATTAAACAACCATCAAATATTTGGCTTTAAAAATATCCCGTGATTAATCAATAGAATAGTTGTTGTCATTCTAGTTTTACCTAAATTATATTCGATGTCTTGCATAGCTTAAAGACAATATTGGGAAATCTTTCCAATCAAAGACAGTAAAAATAAAATAAGCATAATATTCGTGGTAGAGACCAACTGATGTAATGCACTTAATGTGTGAGACAGGATGCTGCGTTCAGTTACATTCCTGCAAAATTACTTGTTGTTTGAAAACTTTCCAGGTTTTCCCTGTGGGTATACAACACATGCTGACTTTCCAGAAATTCCAACAGCAGCTGGAACCTTGTTAAAAAAAGTAGGCTGTTGCAGTATCAGTCATTTTGTTGATATACCCATGTTAGTCTAGCTAGGTTGCCTCTCCCCTCTGTCTCTTTCACACTCCCCTGTCTTTACTGCCTCTGTTTATTGCCATCTCTCCCCTCCTCCATTTCTCCCTCCATCCATCTCTCTCTCTCTCTCTCTGAGGTGCAAGCGCCTGGTACCACCAGTCTCTCTCTCTTTCCCTCTCTCTGAAAGCTGCCTCTCAGAGAGTCGATTCACCAGTGTGATGCATCTGCACACACAACCAGAGGCATCTAACTAAAAACAAATACTGTGATTACTTTGGCAGATATTGTGATGATCGTAGTCGGAGTAGTAATTTTGCAATTTGACTGAAATAATGATATTTTCTGACGTTTCTACCAAACAAGCATGTTCACTTATGTCTGGAGAATATCACTGCTCCTGTGATGTGGATTTTACACTAAACCACATAACATTTCCAGCCTCCCTTCCCACTGATAGATGTCTACATACTGGTTAAACAACCACAGTTTGTACGATTATACATCACAATCCAAACTCTGGTATGTCTGTGTTGATAAATCCCTTTGCGTGCTCTCTACTACAGCTCACAGATGAAACATGCGAGACCAACTTAAAACATGTGAGGCAAAAATGCGAGACCAACATAGTAAAAAACACGGCACGCTTTAAAGTGTACATGCTTTGACATTTTTTGAGGATGACAATGGTCTGAGCTGAGGCTCACCTGCTTCATCAGTAAACAGGGGGTAACCCAACACTGAGCAAACCACAGCACGTCAACAGACTGATGTTTAGCTGCTGCTCTAATTACAGAACCATCGTTATAATCATGGCCCTGGGCAGACGTTGCGTTAACACCCGTCTCAGGTGATCTGATCCCAAGTGGACAGCTCTAAGTGCAGGTGTGAATGTACCCAAGACGCATCGGAGATCGGATCACTCAGACCACATTCAGAAGCGGTCTAAGAAACCCAGTGCTACGTTCTTTTATCTGTGTAAATGCGTCCTGGGCAACAGGAAGCTTAGCTGACTTCTACTGATCAGCTAGTTTCATAATGACACAAAATGATTGAGTTTCCCATGCATCGTTTTATTTGCTGCCACTGCCACTATATCAACATTTAATTTTTGACTGACATGCAGAGTCAAATTACAACTTTGTCCTCAAGTACACCATGAGCCAAACCACTACTCATACCCAGAACAGCTTTACACAATGCTCCAACTCATCCTGTTTTGCTAAAACGGACGGGGCCTTGCATCGTCACCACCAGGGTTGAGGGTTAGATTCCAACTGACCACAAACTAGAAAAATGCACACATGGTATTTCTGAGGTTTCAAAGTTTGAGGGTCTTGGTCTAATTTCCATAGTTCTGGCCAAGAGATCAATCAACCATGACAACATTATACTCATCACGTGAAGTGCAGTGAAGTTATGGTGACAACATTGCAACTGAGTACTGAGAGGCAGCAACAACAGCACTCAGAGGATCACTTAAGTGGTAAACAAACCCCCATTTTAAACGTATTATGCAAACCACCAGAAACTGAGTGCACCTAAAATAACCACTGCATCGAGAAACACTGTTCTAACACTATACTCCAGGAACAACTGTAGGTCAGAATATGACAGTATTTACAAAAGACATTTTGAGTTGTTATTCCAAGTTTATTTTAGGAATGGCACCATATTCCTAGATATCAGACATTTAGTTAAACAAATGAATAATGTCTAAATAATGGACAACGCAATTATAACCTGTTAAAATCACAGGCATGATTATGAAAATATAATTTAAAAACTTTAACAACCAGTTGTGGTCAGTTTAGTAGTGACTGACAGATAAGTCATGTTCACTTCAGTGGTGCAGACAGTGCCACTTCCCAGAAACACAGACCGAACAAACACACTGTTTGACTGAACTGATGTTATATTAACAGCTCTGCCGCAGATACAGCTTATCATTCAAAAATAGCTTTGAGCAAGAAAACCAACAGTGCTCTAAGGAAATAGCAAATGCAGCACCCACCTCACAGCTCAATGAGACGAAAATAGAACCAGAGTGTGGAACCTTTATGTAGACGTGGTGTTATTTAAAATCACAATGACAGCTGTGGTTTCTCATCCTTAAACATGCACAAGGGACCAAATCCTATGAGAAATCATGAGAGGATGACAGATGCATGTAACACAAACACACCAAGAGCAGGAGACGGCACCGAAACTGCACCGCACAGCTGATGAAGAGACAAAGTGACAACACAGGAAGATAATTTGTTTTTGTTCTCTACCACCGTTCAGAGAGCTCCTGACACACACTCAGTCGTCGGCTGGATTTTGGGGTTTACAGTCAACTCATAACTGATTATATTAAAGTCGAGATTTCATTTAACTTGGATTGGTCAATCCCAGCATGACTGTGACCGATTCAAATCCATCGATGAGGAAAAGGATACACTTTGATGGCTCCTGACTTTGTTCCAATGGCCATAAGTTGCAGCTTGGGGTCAAAGGCCAAAGCACTGGGCTGATGAGGAAAGCCATGCTCCACAGTCTATTCGAGACGGACAGGCAGAGAGAAAGAGTGGGAAAGACAAACAGATGAAATAGACATCAACAGCGGATACAAGAAAACTCTTTTTTTTATTTTTCTGACGTTCTGCGTTAAATCCTCTATGTTTGTGTGCCGCTGCAGACTGTGGCATCAGTGAGGCGTCTAAAAGGTTCATAAAAAGTACTAATAGCAGCAGCATTGTTTTATTATCTGTTAAATGAGATAAAAATAAAGTTACAGTTTTTCCCTCTGCCTACATGGGGAGAAGATGAGATGGCTGGGAAAGCATTTCACTCTACAGAGGAAAAACACAGCGAGACCACGCAGAGAGATGCCTGAACCTTTGTTTAGGGGGTCCAGTGGACTTTTGAGTTTTGTGGCCATGGACCACCGAGTGTTTTCTGTGACAAATAAATCTGGGAATGAGCTTGGCACTGAGATATGATGTTAAACATTAACCTCAGTTTCTCTGCAGTACCAGGGTACGAACAAACACACACAACCATCAAAGCAGCACTCCTGGTGAGAGACCACCTCTGATTGTTGTGGCAGCTGGTGCCAAGTGTAGGTACGTGTGTTGTCACAGTGCAGCAAATTGTTCATGGTCATTCAGTTTCGCTCTTTTTCTTTGTGCAAAAATGCAGAAAATTTTCTGGTTCCAGTTATGAAGCGTGGGACTTTGTTGTCTGTCTTCATCGCGTCTGACAGGAAATGAAATTTCTGTGTGTTGGTCTGACAACAAACACAATCTGGACTTTTTTTTTTTTAATGTCAGTTCATCACTTTGGGTTTTTGAAAACTTTGGTGTTTCCTTTTCACCAAATTCTGACATGTTATAAAACAGAAAGACTAATTGATATCAAAAAACATCTTGAGTTGCAGTCCAACATGAGGTGGCTCTTTTTGTGTGTGTTCCAGTCAAATACTTATAAGTTTTATAAAGACTCAGTCATCAGTTCAAACATGACATAGAAGGCTCTTGATTCATGATGGATAATAATCTTGTGATCAAACTGAGAAAGCGTTGCTATACTTTCATCACTGCTCCACGATGAGTAGAGCTCATGTTGTGCTGCTCTGTGCAAAATAAATAGTGGCTTTCATCATCAGAAAGTTTGACGCCGCAGCTCTCTGGAACACTCTGCTCTACTTTTTGAGTGACACCGTGTGCAGACTGACAGCGGCCTCATCTAACCTGAGTTCAAGGCCACCATGATGCTCAACTCGACACAGTGTGATGTGAGCAGTCGCAGCTCCCTTCGAGACACATGCAGCTGATAACTTGATACAAAACAATCACAGATACATTCCTGAGACAAATGGCTGCTGCATCCGACTTCCAGGACTCTCCCTGAGCAGTGGATCTGAACTTTGTTGAGGCCAAAAGCTCCCAAACAAGACGTCAACACAGGCCAAAGGGGAAGGATGTGTGTAAATGTTAACACAAGCCTCGGGAAGCTGAGGTTTCTATCCATATGGATGTGATGGCAGAGTTGAGTTGTATGAAACCTGACACTCAGGGTTTCGACCACAGACCCTGAAACACTGAAACAATGCAGAGGTCTGAGGAATAAAAAACCTCTGCAAGCTTGAACAGTGCTGTTGTAGTTTCTAGGGCTGGGAGATATGAAATCGCTCAATTTTGATATTTAGCACAATATCATGTTATTGATTGTTTTAAAGCAACACAAGGTGGAATTTATACCTTAAAATAACAGCTGCAGAACCATTTTGACAGAACACAAGCCTATAATGTGGAGAACAGCATGTCGGTCACTTCCACAGCGCTCCCTGGACACCTGAAAGTGCACTTTGTAACTCTGGTACACTGGTCAGGAACATTAACACCTGCTTTATGGCACCAGCAACCAGGGCCTGAGCTAGCAGCTAGCTTAAAGAGACTACTGTGTGCGTGGGAAGGCTAAGACTGCAACTTACGTATCCCACCTGTAGGGGGAGCTCGAGTATGGAGCACAGTGACCCTTTAAGTTTAAAGAGGTGAAGGTAGACAAATCATGCTTTACACCAGCCCCCTTTGCTTGGAACATCCAGAAGCAATACATCAGTATCTATAATGGACTTTACATTGACAGTTACATTGCTACTGATGGACTGATAATTATTGATTGTTGATAACTGCAGTGCCTCTGCAGCCTCGTCAGGAGAAGTACTGACAGCCATTTTGATCGATATCTAGAAGTACACACACGTGAAGCATCACACTGATACAAGCAGCTGCTGGTGATTAACCGCAGAAAGTGTCCACGGGTCACTGTGGACGTGGGCCTCGTTTTTGGTGGAAGCTGATTAACAGGTCAATTAACAACACACACACACACACACACACACACACACAGTAACAAAGCCCCTGCACGTCCCACTCCAGCACTGAAGCTAGTTTGTGTTTGCACAGAAACAAACGCTGCAGCTGAACTTCAGTCCTGCTCCTGGTTTCAGAGGAAACGCTGTTTAGTTTTTTTTTTTTTGGAGGAGAAGAAAGAGGAGAAGAGGAGGAGACACTCTCTCCTCCTGCCCTCTCCTCTTGTCCCGTTACTTTACCTTGTTGAAGGCGAACAGCTCCTGTTTAATCTTCTCCCTCTGCGGGTCGGTTCCCTGCCGGCGGAACCGAAACTTCATCATCTTGGCGCCGGGCGGGGAGGGCTTGTTGGGCGGCAGCGGGTAGAGGGGGGGGACCGGTGAGGAAAACACGGAGCTAACGAGCCGGGGTCCTCGGCGGCAGGAGCGGACGATGCTAATGCTAGCTAACCGAGTGGCCCATGCAGACTGTGCGCGGGGCTGCGTCGCTGCAGCGGGCTGCGGTTCTCTCCTCCCTCCCTTCTCTCTCGCTCCTGGAGCCGCTTCGGTCGCGGTGGGTTTGACCGCAGCCCCCGCCCTCCGTTCCTGTTCCCGGTTCCCACCGCACGGAACCCCGTCACCGCCAGCCAATCAGAGACAAGAAACCCGCAAGGACACGCCCCACTCAGCCCCGCGCCCCGGAGGAAGAGGGCGCTCGGTTTGTAGCACGGGTCGCACCGCGCACACCGTCAGCTGCTGCAGGAGCGAATGGGAGGCGATAACCGGGCGGTGCGGGGATTGAAATGAAGCCAACCGGCGGGGAAGCGACACTTGAGCGTTAACAAAGTAAAAGTTGTTGAGAGCAAAATCTGTAAATGTGTTTTTATATTTGAATAAATGAACACGAACCCTGTTAATTTCTGCAAATGTGTTAATGTGTCTCTGTAAAGACTGAACACAGAGTAATGTTAATATTTTTATTATGTAAAAATACCTCATTCATAATGTAAATTAGCTGGAGGGATTCAAACTTACATTTTACAAGACAATTAAAACTGTAACAGCTAGTAACACGTTTTTATTTTAATATTTTCACATGAATAGTTTGTTTTATTTTACTTTGTTACACCCTCAGCAAATTAATTTGTTTATTTCCTCGTTTATTTCTTGAATTTTATTTTTACTGAATACTGTTTTTGTACAGATTTGTGTACGTTGATGATGTAATATAATAAAACACAGATTCCTAAATAACATTATTATCGCTGTGAATTATTGTTGCTCAGGCCAGATTTCAGGAAGTAAACCATTGTTTTTTTAATCCTCTGTGTTTTTGTGTATTCATATGAGAATGAACTGCTGAGCTGTGGTTTCAGTTTATTATGTCCTATAATTTAGCTCTGTCTGTGTGGTATTTTTGGATTTATGTTTGTGAATATTGTGATAAAGTTGGGGGTTTTTTTTAAATCACAGCCGAACACTTTATGCTACAAACTTTAATGTTCATTCTTTCACATTCAAATCAGTTATGTACAACAGTTATTTACAAAAAAACATATAAATTGGACAATTTCTTTTATATAAATAATTTTTCCTGTGCAAAGTGTAAATAAGAACATTATAAAAACATGAATTTCAGTAATGTAGGCCCTTACATAACAAATTATATATTTTGTCAAATCATAGGCATTCACTGATGTTGAAGTGGAGATTTGTAAGTGATTCATTTGAGTTTCACATATTGTAGTTGTTTGTGCAGCAGGAGTTTTTACTCTTGTTCAGTGCAAGACCACAACTATTTTAATTCAGTGTTGCCCAAAGATCAACATTGGTCAAATCATACTATTCTTCTAAAGTGGAGAAGTTAAAGTCAATTAAAGAGTCTAAGCCTTTTAGTCTAAGCCTCTTGAAGCAGCAATGGCAAACCAGGTCTTATGTAGTTCTGAATAAAATGTCAAACTAAAAACATTATAGACACATGCATGCATTTCACTCATCAGTGTGTGAAAGTATATGCACAATACAGGATCTTTGCTGACTTTCCTAGAGCTTAAATTATTAGTTGATTAAATAATTAGTCAACAGAAAGCTAATATGATAATTGATTAATCATTCAGCTCAGGTTTTAAATCAAAAATCCCCAAATATTCTTGCTTCCAGGCTCCAAATGTGAATA